TAAATGAGATAGTATATGTGAATGAATTCTGTTATTTACAACAATATAAAATATTCACTATGATTATACTGGATTTCCATTTTGGCCTCTTCATTGGGAACAAAAATAACGTGAAAGCAAATAAAAGTGTTGGTTGCTGTAGCTGATTAGAAATGAGAGACGTTGCATCTCTTTTTACCACCCTGGTTCTAATATAGCTTCGTCTGTCACGTGACTGTCTTCAACTCGGTCAGTCTGCTGAGAATGCAAAATCGCCAAGTGGGTGAGCAGCAGAGAGGTACTGTTTCCAGAGGAAGGCATTAAATTAAATTATTAAACACACACAAGTAGGAGTAGCAATGTAAGAATTTTAAAAGATTCACAAGGAAAGGCAGTAGAGCCAAGGGACTATTTCTGGTGTTCTGACTAGAAAACTCCCAGTGGCTATTACAGCTATTTATTAACCCGCAACATCATAAACCGTAACCCTATTAAATATGATGAATGACTCCTAGGTTACGATTTTTAAATACCAATTCACAGGGATTTTAGAAGGCCAAATTGGCATCACAGGATGCAAAGTCTTTGGGCAAATGGCGATTATGTGATTAGATGCAATTATAGCAACTGAATGCGAAATGATGATGGACAAGGAATTTAGAATAAAGAAAACGCATTTATTTATTTAGATTCTGCCCCATTGAGCTGAACTATACTAATTGTGATCAGAGGGGCAGCCCTGAACCACTGTTTGAGGCCAAGTGTGTCACAGGGCTGGCACCGCCTCATGAGGCACCTTGTGCTGTGCCCTCAGTGCTCACTGCTCCACGAATTTAGAAAAAAGTGCTCTCTGGGCAGACAGGTGAGAAAAAGTCTCTCCCTCACATCATGAGGGCCCTTGTAAGAATTAGAAAAAGGCACCTCTTGCTCCAAGCCACAGCCCTTCACTGCCTAGAAAATCGAGAGTGATCTTGTCAAGGAACTCGGAGGGTCTTTGGTCCTTTTAAGTGTTTTCAAGGTGTGATAGAAGGCTTATGTCCCCTTTAAAGAATGAGATGTTTTGTTTTACTCTACTTAACTGTTCTACTTCAAGTCATCTATCCTCAAGTTTAAAAAAAAAATTCAGCACCCTTTATGGAAGAAAAAGAAAACAAAGAAGCTCTTCCTATCTTCTCAGTAAACATGTGTGTGTTTGCTCTCCTGATGGAACAGGGAAGGTCCAGGAACCTGCTGGGGGGCTGTTGAAGGGCACCCACCTGCACGTTTGGGGCGTGAGGAAGCCAGCCCAGGATGGCACGGGGCTGGCCCTTCTCCCCTTGGCTCTCCAGCCCTTTCCTAGGCCCAGATGCCCCTGGCTGCCCCTTTCAAGGCCTCTACAGTCACCACTTAACACTGGGCTCCATTTGTCACAGGCAAATAAAAAGGAAAGGCATTACTTTCTACTTCTCAATAGCTTGCTAATTTGTCACGCTGTGTCTTCCGTTTGAGGACAGCCCTGTGTTTGTAGAACAAAACGGGGAGAAACCCTCAGTAAGAGAATCTTAAATACTATGATCCCTGCTCTCCTTCCAACCAGGAAAGGATATATATTGATTTAAGAATGAAAGGAGAAAAAGAAAGAGTTAAGAAAGAGGGCTTATCTATAGATCAATGGGGATAAATGATGAAAAGAAGCTACTTTGAGGCACACCAGCCTGGTGAGTATCTCTTTAAAACAAGCAGCTAAAAATGCTTTCAACCTCGTAATACCATAAATGTCCTGCTGCTGTCTTGGCTTCCAGATTCTTCCCCGTACTTTCCATGAGCATTCCACTGGGAATTGTCTGGAATCCCAGATTAAAACAGCAATACCCCCACTCCCTTGTTAGAATATTTATTTTCTTTTAGGTTTGGAAACTCAGCTGGGATGCATCTCTAAGTATACGGCATGGCCTCAACCCTCCTAGGGGCTGCAGGAGATGTTTCTCAAACAGCATGATGGGCAGCGGAGTCCTGGAACGGGAGAGGGAGGAGGGCATTGCAGCCTCGTGTGGAAAGCCCCAGCTGCAGACAAACAACAAAAGCCTGGGAACCTCCACTTTCAGAGGATTCATTCCAGATGTCAGAACTAATGGTGTCACAATGGGGCTCATGCAGACTGACAAGGAGGTCCCTGTAGTCGGGCTGCCTGAGAGTAGGCATTGAGGCAAAATCATCACCTGACCAAATCCATAATCTAACAAGTAAATCTATTCTAAGGTTGGCAGCAATATGATACAGTCCTATATCTCATAATTATCTATGTGGGGATACATCCACCCACCCGCCACCTACCCACCCACCTAATGGAGCAAACCATTCAATAACTGATTGACCATAGTCCTCAGTTAGAATACTGAATCACTCAGAACAGATTGTTAGATTCTATGGTCTAACTGATTGCTAGACTGCAGAATCTAACCATCTGATCCTAAGAACAGATTCTAGCCATAAACCAACACTATGGCCACATCAGTAAATAATGATTAAGTGCCAACCCTGAATTCATCCATCCACCCATCCATCCAAAGAATATTTATTAAACACACATGGTAACATAACAGATAAGAATGTAAGCTTTGGAGTCAGACAGAATTGAGTTTGAATCCTGACTTTATCTCTTACGAACTGTGTGACCTTGTCAAGTTGCTTCAATTCTCTAAGCCCTAAATTCCTCATGTGTGACACGGATATAAAAAGAATATTGACCTTACAAGTATTACTGTGAGAATTAAACAAGATCATTTACATAAAGGACTTCACACAGTGACGGGTACTGTGAGTTAGTGTGATCCTGCGATTGTGTGATTACCACAGTAGAGCCTGGCCAAACAGTGGTAAGCTATGGCTCACTAAGCAAACTGTCTACTCCTGAAAACAGTTAAGTGTTGGTGGAAAAAACAGTTCACAGAGGGAGAATGATTCCTTAGGTGAGAATCATAATATCTGGAAGAGGGCTGGCTGACATGCTCTTGTCTGGTCACAATGGGTATGATAGGAAAACTGGATGTTACAATCACTGACTCAGTCAAACAGCTGGTGTAACAGCAGAACTAGTTAGGAATTAAGGTCTCCTGACTGCCAGTTTGGTGTGTGTTTGTTTTGTTTTACCATAACTTCCTATGGAGAGGCAGTTCTATGGTCAAAGAGCTGACATATGCAAGGGCATCCAGAAACCAACCAGGAATTAGGGCCTCCTTGGAGAAATGTGTCAAAGTACAGGAATAAAAAACTACGAAAGAAACAGCAGCCTGTTTGGGACAAATGTTTGTAATTCTTTTCTCCCTGCACCTGGCAAAGAGCGTGGTCTGCTTTGTTCGTTTCTGTATCCCCAGCATCCAGAAGGTCCCTGGTACAGTGCCGGTAATCAATAACTATTAATGGAATGAAGAAAGGAATGAGATTTGGTAGGAGGAGTGTTTGGCCTGCATGGCACGAGTATGTTCCATCCTGAAGTGAGTATACTAGTCACAGGGCAGCTTGGGGAGGGAAAGATGCTATTACCTGGCTGTGGTTTCTTTTGCAACCCTGTCTGCTGCCATGGTGCCAAAGCGCTCGGTTTACCAAGGACAACAGTGCCTGCAGCCATGACTTTGGCACCTGTACAGTCCCAATCTGGTCTGTGAAAGTGCATTGTGGAGAGGATGGTACAGTGGAGCTAGGCCTTTCCCTCCTTGCCTAAGTGAAGCTGGAATGTGCTGACCCTAACATGTAGCAACTCTGTAAACAGTGATGGACACAGCAAGCTGGAGGAGGGGGAGAATCCTCGTGGTCCCCAATCCTCACGGTCCACAAGCCCGGCACCCATCCTTACTGTGGGGGAGAAGGGGTTGCCAGCAACGTTCCCCCAGCACCTCCCCGTACCACAGTCACCTGATTCCCTGAATTATCACAGGAAGAGAAAAGAGAAGCCCGTGTCCTCCGTCCCCTATTGTTCTCCACCTTCAGCAGGCAACCTTCGGGCTCCTCAGGACGGATGGAACAAGAGGGAATAACCTGGGGAGCAGCACCATGCCAGAAAGCGATGGCGGGCACAATTGAGCCACCACGTAAGTTATTAGGAACTAACTCGGACAGGGCCAAGGTGACCCCCAGTGTCCTCCATAACCTGGACTTGTGCCCTCAGGATAACATTTAAGCCAGAGAACCTGGCATTTTCTTGGACACCGTGACCAGGGTGGGAATCAGGTGATTCATTCTCCCCAGCTGCCCCCATCACATTGTATCTGGGCTGGGTGGCCGCACAGGAAAGACAAAAAAGGAAATGACAGGTGTCGGCTGCTTGGAGCCGGGCCCAGCAGCACAAGTGTGTTGGCCCCGATGCCCTGCCAAGTTGCAGCTGAAGATTCAGACGGGAGGTGGCAGAGGCCAGGGGGAGAGACGATTTGGGAGATGATTGGGGGAAATACCGCAAACTGGCTGAAGCTACGGAGGTAATGCAGGCACAAGAGAGGGAAGAGAGGGGAGGAGACGAATGGAGGGGAGAGAAGCCATGTCCAGGCACATAAGATCCAGGAAAGAAGAGCAACCAGCATGGGAAAGGCAGGAGCGGCGGAGGGAGCAGGGGGGTGCTGTGAAGCCAGGAAGAGCAGCACACAGCTTCAAAAGCAAAGCAGGGAGAGAATCTGGCTCAGAAGTTGAGCAAAACTTAAAGCCGAACAAAATATTAAAGGGGAGTTAGTGTGAATTTAGAAAGACAGACTAACTGTCCCCCAAAATTCATCTCGCCTCTTAGGAGAGTGAGTGGACTCTGCCATATATAGTGCCCATTCCCGGATGTTTGGGTAACACATCATAGAGCCGAACAGAGAAGCACGGGACAGGAGTCTCGGGGTTTTCAAAGCCATTCTGGGGAGGGGGTGAAGTTGTGTGAAATCACTCTCAGCTTGCCCCTCTCCAGCTTGAAGCCCTGCCCCTCAGCTCCACGCAGTCCATCATTCTGACCCCGCGTCCCTCTGGATGGCTGTCCCTCTGTCTGTCCCCGCCCCGGGCGCAACACTCACGCAGGTGCGCGGGCAGGCGGATCGAGTCTTCCTCCATCCTGAGCGCTCTGGGCACTGGAACATGAAGTGGAGTCGAGGAAGCGTAACTGGGCACCGGGCTCTCGGGTGGTGTGTATGAAATTCGCTCTTGCTGTTAAAAACAAAGGCAGGAAGAGGGGAGGGGGAAAGACAGTGAACGCTTGGAACGACGTGTGAACTAAGGGAGAGGAGCAAAAGGGACCAGGGGCATCTGAGCACATGCCAAGCAATCCCGCCCGCCCCCTCGACAGACACTATTCTGTGGCATTTCAGAGCTCCAGCTTTGGGGATCTATAACACAACTCTGGAAAGGTTTAAAATAGGGCTTTTCCTTTGGACTTGGATCAATGGGTGCCCATTTTTTCCTCTCTGGTACTAGTGGTTTTGTTCAAGTAAAGAGGGGAGACAAGGCGGAGGAAATGATAAAGTATGTCCTAGAGCAGGGGTGGGGAACCTTTTTTCTGCCAGGGCCATTGGGATATTTATAACATCATTCTCGGGCCATACAAAATTATCAACTTAAAAATGAGCCTGCTATATTTGGTCAAACATTTAATTAACTCACCCCTAATGCCTTAGAAGAGCTACACCAAATGATTTCGAAGGCCTTACACGGCCCATGGGCCGAACATTTCCCACCCCTGACCTAGAGAATGGCTTTACAGACTACTCTCAAAAATGACTTTCCAAGTCACATAATAATGCCACCAATACATGAAAACCACGTTTCCTCTCCTCTGGCAACAGTCTAATCCAAGTATGATCCTGTACTCAGATCCAATGAGAGGTGAGCACAAAGTGATGGACTACAAATTCCAGATTTAGTTCAACCAATCTATGAGCAAGACTTTGCTATTATCTACCAATCTCATTATACAACAACCAGCCAAAATATATATCCAATGTTTAATTATTTTTTCTTCATAGCAAGGAATTATCTGTAAAGCTAACAGCCTCCTTGTCCCTTCATTTTCTATCTAGAATCAATATTTCCTTTTCTTCTGAACTGTTTCAGAGATTCAAAGAATCACCTGCATTTAAGAAAACGACTATCTAACTGAAAACACTTACGCAAAAGACAAGGAAAGGGGAGGGGGCTTCGGCAGATCCGCCGTTTAAATTCAAACAGGCAGTGTTTGTTAGATCAATTAAAACAACTGGATGGGATGGAAAAGATTATCATTTGTTTGAAGTTAAAACATGGCCAACAATGGCAAGAAACCAACCCTCGAATAGGCCAGAAGAGCAGTACAATTTGCATCTTAGATCTGCATATCCACTAGTTTGACTTGCAGGCCATACACACTGAACATCACTTCCGTCAGTTTCTGTGGTTTAACTGGGCAAAGCAAAGTGGGACACACCGGGTCTAAAAATAGGTTTGGGGGGGGGGGGTGCGGGAGGAAGATCAGTCAAATGCCATTGTGAAAACAGAAATCAGGAGCGAAAGAAAAATCACAGATTAAAATAAAGCACAGGGGTTTATGTTTTGGAAAGACAGTTCTCTAACATTTTCTATTTCATCAAATATGCAAAGGGAAGCAGGGGAGTCCCCCGGACCTATAACCAAAGTCAAGTTTTTCTTCTGTTCATACCCTGGAAAGTTTGGTGGTTGTGGTAGGAAGTTTCAATTTTAAATGATTATATACATATTTTTGTAATTTCCGAAGGGAATCGCTACACCTTCCCTGAGATATCCTCTACCAGCAAATAGGGCATTTGGAATATTTCTGTTTAAGCATGCATCCTAAAGTTTCCTGGTGAATTTGCTAAGGGCAGGCACAGACATGCCAAATTTCATTTCTGTATCAATCAAGATGTTCTCTGAAAGGTCACCCAGAGGCGAAGCCTTCAACTTCACTTTTCTTGAACTTGATCAAACATCACACATAATTTGAGCAACTCTAAGGATGAGTTATATTTTTCGTGTTTGGGGTTTTTGGGGTGAAAGAGGAAAGACATGAACTCACATGGGAAACATACAAAATCTGTTCAGGGGGTTTTCAAGGTAAAACAGGCTTTTAAAGCATGGTAGACAGTCTGTAACAAATGCTCCATACACTTCAACCCTCAAGTAACCCCCTCCCCTCCCCAGTCCCAGTATATATCTGGAGATCTTATCTACCGTTAACTTCATTCCCAGAAATAGCTTTCTGTTTTTTTAGGGTTTTTTGCAGAAGTGAAACTGTTGATGAAGAAAACTTGGTGCAGCCAAAGAATTTTAAAATGGGTTGGCGTGAGTGGGAGAAAAAAAGAAGACGGCATTTCAGAATACGATGACTTTCCCTTCAAAGCACGAGAAACTTAGTCCCTACGAGTGACAGGCCACCTCATCCCAGCTTCCTTAACCCTCACCACCTCTACCAAGGACAAGCTGGGCGAAGCTCAGTCCTCCACAAGGATTTTACTTTATTTTGTGGACGGTCTAGCTCTGGCTACTTACAAAAGAGTTGAGCTGGGTGCCACCTTTACAAGGTGTACGCTCTGACTTGCTGAATCGTCAGTGTGCTGTGCCTTCGTCGCACTGCGCTTTCTCTGTAACAGCCCCGGGTCTGAACTTCTGCGTGGCCCCCTGTCTCTAATGCCACACTTCAGTGCCTGCCCTGGCATTTTACACCACCTTCTCCGACATGTCCACACAATTAAAAACAACTGTGCTATTTTATTTTTTTTAGTATGTTTTTTATTGATCTCAGGAAGAGGAAGGGAGAGGGAGAGAGAGACAGAAGCATCAATGATGAGAGAGAATCATTGATCAGCTGCCTCCTACACGCCCCATCCTGAGGATCGAGCTCGCAACCCAGGCATGTGCCTTGACTGGGAATCAAACCCTGACCTCCTGGTTCATGGGTCGACACTCAACCACTGAGCCACACTGGCTGGGCATCTGTGCTATTTTATGATAAAACCTATAAAAAGAAGGTCATAGACTGAGTGATGGTGGACCCTGAATTCCTCTTGTTCCTGATGAAGGCTTCCACTCAGCAATATTTTGACACCATAAACTTGGGACACAGGAAGCTCTTTTTTAAAAGGTTCAATGAAGAGGCCAGTCAGGAGAAAGCAAAATGCACCTCTAGGGCCTCCAGTGATTTGCTAACAGTCATCACACACGACTGTGGCCCTGGGCTCGGCGGCCAGCAGAAGACAGGGGACCCCAGAAAGGATGCAGCCCGGTGCCCGGCTCCTTTCCGAAAAGAACAACACATACAGCTGGAATCCTTGGACTTTATTTTTGTTCATCTCTAGGGTGACCCACGTGGTCCTGATTTTTCAGTCTATTCCTATAGCCCATGCACTTAGCATTCAGCGCACTGTCATCAATTAGAAAAAAAATGAAACAAATCGGGCTACCTCAGGTGGAAACATCTACAAAGAGAAGCTTAAGGAGACTAACATCCCATTTCCCAAACAAAGGAAACCTCCTATTCTCACAATGGCTTCTCTGGTCGGACCCCAACAAATCGAAGTACCGGCTTACAGCTCATTCACCTCTAGAACAAACTGCCAGCCCAGTGAAAACCAAAGGTGTTTCGCTTTATGATTACAGAGGGGATAACAATGTTCCCAAGAGGATTATCACCACTGGTCTAATTAAATTAAAGTGCTGCAGACAGTATGGGTGCATTCAAGTGTTGTAGGGGGATAAACTGGCAGAGGAGGTCAATGATGTGACTACAAGGGCCGTGATGTGGTTGCATTATTGTTCAGGTGCTGAAAAAAACAACAGGCTGCTCTCAAATTTGCAGACACAACCTATCAAACCAACCTGCAGATCAAAAGGGAAGCCCTGCCACTTCCAAGGCCAACTGTAATATCCGTGAGAAGGGTGGGTGGGGGGAGGAAGAGCTGCACCGAGCTCTGAAAAGAACAAATGAGGCTAAAGATAGTTTTAGGCAAAAGATGGGATGGAAATTTTACTATTGTAGAAAGCTTTTCCCCTAAAAAAATGTAATGGAATATGGAGTAGGGTCACTATAAGCACAACTACTAAAACCAGAATGAGTTCTATTCCCCTTCTTCATTCCTTCCCCAACCACAGAGGGCCAGTGACAGGTACCCATCTAATGCTGTTCATGTTTATTTATTTGTTTGTTTGTTTTAAAACATATTTTTATTGATTTCAGAGAGGAAGGGAGAGGTAGAGAAAAACAGATACACCAATGATGAAAGAGAATCATTGATCAGCTGCCTACTCGGGATTGAGCCCACAATCTGGGCATGTGCCCTGACCAGGATCGAACTGCTGACATTCAACCACTGAGCCACGTCGGCAGGGCATTGCTTCTCATTTTTAAACTGAGTGCCTAGGAACCTGTGACTATCATGTAAAACAAGCTTATGCATTATGTGCCAAGTAGAAACACTGCATTTCTCCCACCCCCTAACCCATGGCTGCATAGTATGGAAGAGTGGAAAAATATTCTCATTACCAAAAAGTCTTTCCTATTCAAAATTAATCAAATCCTGGGGATCCCCCTGGTGCATTTATGTATTTGCTTTTACACCATTGACTCTTTGATGAGGCTGAAAGGTTAAGAAATATAGAGCTTATTACTAGTAAAATGTTAACTTCCTGGGAATAAAAAAGATCAAGCATTTCTGAAATTGAGAAAAACCAAAAGAAAGTTTGGTTGTGCTTGCTAAAAGATGGTTTGCAGGTCATTTCAAAGACTCCTCTACTGCAAAGCTGAGATTGTCCTCGGTTTAGGATCCATTTAGAGAACTAGTCCCATCTCCATTATAAATGCCAGGGTTACCCAGGGATGGTCTCTGAAGCCTGTGTAGAGCACTGAGGAGGAAGTGTCTTGGAAACAGCGGTGACCATGACCATTTCCTGGGGAACGCTAGCAAAAATGCCACAGGTACCCTTCGCATCCTGCAGCTCTTTGGTGTCTCATGCATGCGCTGAAATTCATCAACCCAGACAAGATGGAAAACAGCAGGCACCAGAGATACAACAGTCACATGGATGACATTCAATACTTGGAGGAAAGGATGCTTTTCCACCCTGAAGGTTTTTAGGAAAGCTGATGCTTGTACTATAGTTGTTTCCTGTACATTGAACAGGAGAAATCTCTTCTCTGGGAAGCTATTTATTGAGATTTGCTA